CAAGGTTAGGACTTTCAAATTGATGAAGTTGATTGACCTTAATACACTCCTTAGAGAAAAAACATACGCCTCCGTGTTGGGCTGAGCTACGGTCTCGTCTTTTGATGTTGTAGCCCGGTAGATCAACATGATTATCTCCAATAGATTCCTTGAGCCATGTTTCTGTGATGAAAACAAGAACCGGATTACGTTTAGAAACACACAAACGAACTTCGTAAATTTTGGGTACTAAAGACATGACGTTTGATCAAAGTAGGGTAGGCACAAATTCTTTGCTGACGTTAGTACGCGACTCTTGGCTCGCGGATAAGTGCGTAACTTCTAAAGGTATATTAATTAAATTACTTCTGGTAGTAGAAAAGAAATTGATTGTTGGTTTTTTTCGGAGCTTTCTTTGGGATTCCATTGTGGGAATGTTAATCCTCATGGTGTGGTTGGAAGATTCAGATAGACAATCCGTTATAGTATCGTTCTTTAGTTTACTATAGTAGTCAAATACCACAAAATAACTCAAGATGAACTCAAAGAAATAAAAACCAGCCAAGAATTTATTAATGCTAAGTTTGAACAACTGTCGAAAACGATCGAAGACCTACAATGCCAAAACGAATTCCTGAAACAAGAAAATTCACAATTAAAGGCAAATGCAACCGAGATGTCAAATAGAATAATACAATTAGAAGAAGATAAAGAAGCTCAAAATCTCTATTCGCGTAGAGATTGTTTGGAATTGCATGGAATTCCTATTCAATCTGGCGAAGACACTGACAAATTAGTTCAAAAGGTTGGCGAACTGGTTGGTACCAAAATAAAAAACGAAGATATCTCGATCAGCCATAGATTACCTACAAGAGGAGACCGAACACCTATTATAATTGCTAAATTTACAAGAAGAAGTGTGCGGGATGGTTTACACAAGGCACGAAGAAATTTAACCAGATTTAATGCCACTGACCTTGGATTTTCCCAACAGAACAATAAACTTTACATAAATGAAAGTCTAACAACAAAGGCTAAAGAAATATTCAGAAAAACAAAGGAATTCCAGAAGGAACAAAAGTTTCAGTTTGTATGGACAAAGAATGGGAAAACGTATATGAAACAGGATAATGATGTTCATTCAAAAGTAGTTTCGTTCTCTACTTTGTCTGAATTTGTACGATTCAAAGACCAATTCTTCACAGCAAGATAAGTTTAATCTGTATAATCTTACACTAATCCTATTATTTTTGCATACAACTTAATAATGTATCCTAATCCGAATATTGCTAATAGCTATCTAAACAAATCTATTAATTCTGATTATCAAGACCCTGATAATATTATTCCTTCATTTTCGTCAAATTACTATAGTATAGAAGAATGTAAAAACTTATTTAATACTCCCCCTAACTTACATTCATATTCACCAACATATAATAATAATCATGATTTATTTTCAATTTTTCATTGTAATGTAAGAAGCCTCCAAAAGCAATTTAGTAAACTTAATGATATTCTGATTTCATTGGAAAACCAAATCTCTATAATTGGAATAAGTGAAACCAGACTAAATGAAAACTCATCTTCCAATATTGATTTGATTAATTACAGTTTTTTAAGACATGATTCTCCCACACAAGCAGGAGGTGTGGGTCTGTATATTCACAATAGCTTAGAATTTCACTTAAGACAAGATATTAAGTTACTGGTTGATGGTTGTGAGAATTTATGGGTTGAAATTCATACACCTAAAAATGAGAAAAATATTATTATAGGCATAATTTATAGACACCCACATTCTAATATTTCTGCATTTAAAGATGCTTTATCAGATAAATTGGAGCATAGTTTGAATGAAAATAAGCAATTAATCATTATTGGGGATATAAATATTGATCTCATAAAATGTGAAACACACCAACTTACTTCTGATTACCTTGATATGATATACTCTAACTCTTGTTTTCCTGTTATTACACAGCCTACTAGAGTCACAAACTACACCGAAACTCTAATTGACCATATTTATACCAATGTTTTAAACAAACCTATTACATCCGGAATCTGCCTGACTGAAATTTCCGATCATTTTCCTGTTTTTCTAATCTTGCATAAAATAAAATCGGCAACAAAACGGAATATGAAGAAAAGAAACTTCAAAAACTTCAATAATGATATTTTTTTACAAGACCTAGAAACATCTATCAGTGACACTAACCATAATAGAAATGTTAACAATTCATTTTCCAATTTCTTTTCCATATTTACATCAACAGTAAATAAACATGCACCTATACAAAATGTCTCAAGGAAAGAATTTAAACTTTCTACGAAACCTTGGATTACTTCTGCGATATTAAAGTCAATAAAAAGAAAACAATATCTTTATTATCATCATTTTATTAAAGGCAATGAAGATCAAAAAAGGTACTATAAATCATACTCTAATACTTTAACTCATTTGAAAGAATTGAGTAAAAAGTTATATTTTAAAAATAAAATAACAAAAATTCAAGGTAATATAAAAGAAACATGGAAAATTATTAACCAAATAGTTAAAATAAGGTCTAAAGGTTCTATTACTCCAGACAAGATAAATAATAATGGCGTTGAATTTGATCAACCGCAGGATATTGCCAATCAATTCAACATCTTCTTCAGAGATATTGGTCCTCAACTTGCAGAAAAAATATCTCCTTCCAATAAAGACTTTCGTGATTATCTTACTCCTTTGAAATCTAACAAAAGTTTCTTTCTTACACCTACAACTCCTAATGAAGTGGCTTCTATGATAAATGAGCTCGATGCCTCAAAGGCTTTGGGTCCTTATGGAATTCCTATTAGTTTACTGAAACTTGCAAAACCAGTTATTGCAACAGAACTGAGTGAATTATATAATTTTTCATTTACTTCTGGTATATTTCCTGAAGAACTCAAGCTCTCGCGAGTAATCCCTCTTTATAAAAATGAATCGATTCACTTGTTATCAAATTACAGACCTATTTCTTTACTTTCACCATTCTCAAAAATGTTAGAAAAATTAATGTGCAAACGACTATTATCATATTTGAATAAAAAGGACATTATATACAAATACCAATTTGGATTTCGGAAAAATCACTCAACAACGTTGGCATTAATTGAAATTATTGACAATATTCTTAATGCCATGGATAAGGGGCTTTATACTTGTGGAATATTTATTGATTTTTCAAAGGCATTTGATACTATCAACCACACGATTCTCCTTTCCAAGTTGGAGCACTATGGTATTCGTGGCGTTGCGTTACATTGGTTTAGAACCTATCTAACGGATCGCTCACAATTTGTAGACCTTAATGGAACACTCTCAAACACTATTAAAACAAACTGTGGAGTTCCACAGGGTTCAAATTTAGGCCCACTATTATTTCTTATTTATGTTAATGACATCTCGAATTGCAGCAATATTTTAAAATTGCGGTTGTTCGCAGACGACACTAATGCTTTTTTGGAAAATAGTAATATACTAACTTTAACCACAATAGTTAATGTTGAATTAGAAAAACTTACCAATTGGATTAAAGCAAATAAATTATCGCTAAATATAAAAAAATCGAAATTTATGATATTTTCATCCGTTAGGAAACAATTTCACTATATTCCAAATATCAAGTTAGATGGCTCTTCACTAGAGCAGTCAGAATTTTTTAAATATCTGGGTGTCCTTCTTGACAGAAACTTGAGTTGGAAATTTCATATAAACGTTATATGTAAGAAACTTTCCAAGAATATTGGCATGATTTCAAAATTACGTCACTATGTTGATCTTGACACACTAAAAAATGTTTATTACTCCCTAATATATCCTTACCTTTATAATGGGGCAATTATCTGGGGAAATACGTACCAGTCTCGTCTTAATCAGTTAAACATTTTAAACAACAAAGCTGTCAGGATCATGACTTTTTCCGAACCTCGATCCCATGCTCCACCTATCTACAAATTACTAGGTATTCTTCAAGTAAAAGACATTGTTTACACCCAAAAATGTACTTTTATGTACGATTACTTTAATAATAGGTTACCAGTAGCATTTTCTAATTATTTTACACACTCGTCAGAAATACATCAACATTATACTCGATATTCAACCCATAACTTTCATTTGCCATCTGTTTCTAGTAACTCAGGAAAATTCTCATTAAAATTTTCTGGAATAAAAATCTGGAGTTCTCTTGATAATCAAGACAAATTACTATCTAGGAAATCTCTAATAAAAAGAATTAAAAAGAATTGCCTTGATACCTATTCCTAATATAAAATGTTTACTTACTATAATCAAATCAAATCAAACCTATTGTGTGTGATGTTAATGTACAGTATGTGTGTATATATGTGTTTATTATATTTCTATATACATTTCTAAATTTTTTTTTTTTTTGTATTATTATTTGCCATATTTAATTCATTGTTGTATATAGTTCTTATGGGGAATTGGCACGAAAACTTTAGTTACTCTAATTCCCCAGCACCGTTCTCACTTTATTGTAATAATCTTGTCATTTTTTTTTTTTTTTTTTCTCGAGTGCAAATAAAATTCTATTCTATTCTATTCTATCTATCTACCCTTTCGAAAATCAAGATTCCACGTTGTTACAAGACCACCGTAGCTGCTACCAACAAGGTTAATGATTGTGATATGACAAAGTGGGTCAAGGAAGTCCAACTTCACAACTTTTCTGACGCCAGTGAAATTGGATACGGATCTGCATCGTATCTTCGAACTGAGTTTATCGATGGAAGAGTAACGTGTTCACTTGTATTTGGTAAATCTCGCACCGCACCATTGCGAAAGATATCCATACCACGCCTAGAGTTACAAGCAGCGGTATTATCGGTTCGAATCAGCGAGATAATACAGCGTGAAATTGAAATAACATTCAGCAAGATTTGCTACTGGACCGATTCAGAAGTTGTGCTGAAGTACATTCAGAATGAAGATAAAAGATTTACCGTATATGTTGGTAATCGTATAGCCGAAATCAGAGAAAAATCCGAAGTGCAACAGTGGAGATATTGCCCAAGTAAAGAGAATCCGAGTGATGACGCCTCTCGTGGACTGAAACCATCTGAAATGACATCCGAGTGTCGGTGGTTGGTTGGTCCGTCATTTTTAAAAGGTCCTGAATCGAGTTGGCCACAGACAAATCTGCGGAAAGATATAGAAAAGGAAGATCCTGAAATTCTAATCCAATCCAATGTAGTGGTTGAAGTAAAAAGACCAGCTATATACGAACTATTAGAAAGATATTCATCATGGAACGTGCTCAAGGCAAAGATCGTCTGGCTAACCAGATTTGCGTTTCTCTTGAGTCATCGCCTTCATCGCTCTCACATATGTCCTCTCGGAAAACCCACCATTCCTGAGTTAGAAAATGCAGAGAACGACATCATGAGAATGATCCAGCAGCAAGTGTTTTCAGAAGAATACAACGCCCTCAGCAAATCGGGGAAAGTAAAGATATCAAGCAGCATCGCGAAGCTCAATCCTTTTATTGGTGAGAACAATATTATTCGAGTGGGAAGCAGATTAGAGTACGCTCATATAAGCTACAATGCGAAGTTTCCACCAATCCTACCAAAACAACATTGGGTATCAGAGCTGTTAGCAAGACACGTCCATTGTAGTAATGCCCATATTGGTCAAGAGCATACCTTGAATATATTACGCCAAAGAGTTTGGATCTGTAATGCTCGTTCCCTGGTTCGGAAGATTATCAACAAATGTAGTCTGTAGAAAGGGACACGCTCCAAAGCTCCAACAACAAATGGCACCTTTACCACCATGTCGGGTTATGGCGTACGAACCACCGTTCACTTACGTGGGAATTGACATGTTCGGACCTTTGTTAATAAGACAAGGTCGATCTACGCCTAAAAGATGGGGATGCATTTTTACGTGTATGACCACTCGTGCAATACACCTGGAAGTCGCACCGTCACTAGAAACTGACGATTTCATTAATGTTTTGCGACAATTTATCGCCCGACGTGGAACCCCGAAAGAAATACGAACGGACTGTGGCACGAACTTCCGTGGGGCTGATAAAGAGTTAAAAAGTGCAACGAAAGCTTGGAGTGAAGATCGTCTTGAAGATCAATTATCCCAGCGAGGAATTGACTGGATATTTCACCCACCGAATGCACCGCATTTCTCTGGCGTGTGGGAAAGGCTAATAAGGGAGACAAAACGTGCATTGAAAGCAATCTTAAAGGGGGCCTTGGTAACAGAACATGTACTGCGAACAGTTTTCTGTGAGGTAGAGTCGATACTTAATTCACGTCCTCTAACGAGATCAAGCGAGGATGCAGCTGATGCTACCGCCATTACGCCTGCCCATTTTTTGCTGCAGAGACCAGCAGTTGTTGTTCCCATTGGAGATTTTAACGAAGACTCGATTATTGGTAGAAGAAAGTGGAAGCAAGCTCAAATCCTTTCAAACCACTTCTGGACTAGATGGGTACGAGAATACCTGACTACTTTGCATTTACGTCAGAAATGGTTAAAGCCTCAACGCGATGTTCGTGTCGGAGATTTGGTCCTGGTACATGAAAAGAAGATACCAAGAGGATTGTGGCCTATTGCGATAGTAAGAAGAGTTTTTCCTGGACGAGACAATCGTATAAGAACTGTAGAGATTAAAACAAAGGATACTGTCTTAACCCGACCAATTGTGAACATTAGTCTCTTGGAACAGTGTGATAATTAAATGTTAATCATGTTCAAACGTGTGGTGCTAAACCATATAAACTTATATAGTTATAATCATGAATGAGTATACTGTGTCGTGTCTTTAGATATTGATGTAGAGATGAGTCGCTTGAGAACTCCTCATCGGCGGGGAGTGTAGACACGCGATAGATATGTATGTATGTAAATGTATTGTTATTATGTAAATGAAGTGTGTGTTTTCTATATAAGGCCGTGTACACGTTGTAAAAAGTTAGTTGTTTGAAATATAATAAAGTGTGAGTAAAAACCCAAGATATGGCGATTACCCCATCCCATCGGACACCGATCGGAAAGACACCATATATATGAAACACAAGAACCTAGTCGCGTAGTTCAACAATGTATGGGAGCGATAGCTACGACCAACGAGAAGCTAACTGCAAGTCTGGCAAAGTTGAGTTTGCCGAAATGTCACCCAGATGTATTTTCTGGAGACGCTACGATGTTCCATCCTTGGAAAAGCGCATTTAAAGGAATGACAGAAAGTTGCAACGTCACCCCAGAGAACGAAATGAACTATCTATGCATGTATACAACCGGCGAGCCACGAAAGTTGGTGAACAGTTATCGGAAAAGACGTCATAAAGACCTTGAGAAACTGTTGATGGAACTATGGATGGAATTGGAAAAGCGTTTCGGCAACGTCGCAGTAATTACAAACGCATTTCTTACAAGACTTCGAGAATCAGCCAGATTTGGAGAATATGATAAGAAGAAACTCCAAGCATTCTCAGATCTGTGCTCGGACGTGGTTTCGCAAGTTAGTCAACTTCCTGGCTTAGCATGCCTCAACTATCCAAACGCCATTCGACCCATCCTCTATAACTTACCAGAATCCCTTCGCAACAGATGGGACAAGCAAGTCGTTGAATTCACTCTGAAAAACAAAGACGCTTATCCTGATTTTACCGTGTTTGCCTCCATGATCGAGAAACAGTCCCTACTCAAGAATCACCCAAACGTGACAGCTTTCGAGAAACGAGGAAAGGGAGATCGGAGAAAGCCTTTTATCCCACCACTTATCCCACCAGAGGACCCCCTGCATACGGTCTTGGCGGGAGAAACTAAAACAGAAGATGAAGAAGTTAAAGAAAAACACTGCCGTAATGGATCAAAGAGGAAAAGTTATGTTTCCGATGCTTGGTTGCAGGACACATAGCCAATCAATGTAAATCGAAAGTCAAATGCGGGAAGTGTAGCAGTGAACGTCGCAACTTCTTCACGGGAGAACTACGGTGGTCGGTTGCTATGCAATTTCCTCCCGCATCAACTGGTTGGTCACGTGACACGTAAACAATGGCGCAAGCAATTTATATGAGTGGCGAAGTAGCTAGGTATTATTTTGAGCTTTTCAAGCTTTTGTCGCAGTGAAATTGTTTTTTAAATATTTTAATAGAACAAACTACACTCTCGAAAGTGATATATGTTGTCAATTTTCCCAATATGTTGCGAAATAAGTTTAAAATGCCCGTCGAACTGACCCTACCTTAAGACAGATTTCGTGTTTCTATGGCGACTGCTTACGACAAAATATACAATGAAGGGTCCCCTAGGAAAGGCAAAGTGAAATAACACATTTTCACTTTTATTCTCCCCCTTAGTAGTGTATATATTCCGTGTAAATTCAACAAAACCGGAAATTTCGCCATATTTTCGTCGAATAATCGCGATAACTTTGTTAAATCTCATTCTCGGAAGAAAAACTAAAATCAAAGTTGGAAATCATCTTATTTTGTTTCATTTAAACTGGGATCAAGCTCAGGAAATAGGTAAGGAACTTCGTTCGAAATCGTGTTTCATTTGCATATTTATAGCAATATGCGTTCGCCATATTGGATTCCTTCGTCTCGAAGTATATCGTTAATTTTCATTTATTTATAATGTGTATTGATATTTACAGCCCATTATCTACATGCAGAAAAGGTAAAAGGTGTAATAAGAGTTCAAATCATAGAGGAAAATGTAATTCTGAAAAGCAGTCTCACAAATTCTGGGTGAATTCTCCTGTATACAATCTCAAGGCAAGTCGAGCAGAAGTGATCAGTCAGAGGAAGGAAATTCAATGTTGGGAAGCAAATTTAAACCAGGCCGACTATCAAATTTCGTCCAAAAGTCAGGAACTAGAAGAGCTTGCAAAATATACAGAGGAACAGGCATCTACAACCAGTTAGTGAAATTATTTTCAGTTAATATGAGGTTTAATTGTATGTATTATTATAATACTTGTATATGACTGTAATAATATTAGATAGTCTATTCAAGGTCTTAAGGTCGTGCCAGATGGTGTTTGCAGGGAACCAGACGGTTCAGGACCTCAGACAATTGGAAGAAGAAATTGTACTATTCCCTATTATGATTGTATTATCATTGAACCAGACAGGCCGTCATATATTAAACAATACCAATGACCTAGATTGAACATGATACTGTTGTTAAAAGCTATTTACTATTATGGATTGACTCTTGAAATTACAGCTAATTTTAACACTAATATTTTGTCCATTGATCCACGGCTTTATGTATTTACATATACAGCTCATTTGCAGATCAGTGAATGGTTCATTGGCATGCACTCGTGTGCATACTAATTCAAACTGATTTACAGTGTGTTCCACATAAATATGGTATTGATTAATATTGATGTGGCATGAGCACAAAATTCGTGTTGACACTGAATTCAGGTATATTATTAATGTAACTGATACCTGCGAAAGATTTCGTAAGGTGTATTTATTATGAAAAATATAAAATAACTCTCAATATTTCGAGCATGCCCAGATATTGCAGAATATAGCCTACACTTTATGTCTATTGTGTAAAAAGTGTGTATATATACAGAATAGGTTGTATATTGTGTATATGTATACACTATAGACATGTAGGATATATTGTGCATATTCTGCAGCCTATATACATATTCACAAAAACAATGTATTGTCAAAATTGTATGGGTTTTTATATAGTGAGTGAGTGAATGTCAAAGAATATAATTTTATCGGTGTAGGCTATATTGTGTATTGTATATCAATATATATACGTATATTATCAGTATATTGTCAGAAATGTATATAGTGTGTAGTGTATATAGTCAGTGTTTAAGTGAATGTCAAAGAGTATATACAGTATAGTGTCATATTGCCTGTTTGACTGAATGTCAAAGAGTAGCTATATATAGTGTATACTCATGTGTATGTAGGCTAAATAGTGTATACATATATACTCAATAATACGTATTATCAGAATATAGTCAAATTTAAAGTATGTATACTGTATAGGGAGTGTTTGAGTGAATATCAGTGAGTACATGTACATGTCTTATGTATAAAGAGGGATTTTTTTAAGAACAATGAAACATATGCATGCCTTTATGACTTATGTATCATATGACTATGTGTCAGTCACTGAATGTATAAAGCGATTTTTTTTAGGAAGTAGGAAACATATATGCCTTTATGATTTATATATCATATGACTATGCGATATTGATTGTATATAAAGCGGGATTCTTTTAAGAACGACGAAACATGCCTTTATGACTTGTAGGCTAGGTATAAATATAACTATAAGACCGGTTTGAGTGCTAAAATGTGTAATAGAATATTTGATTACAAAACGTTTCATATATCTGCATGCATTAATATTTACAATCAAGTTGATAAAATTAAGCGAGAATATACAGTATATACTGTTTTGACTATGTCTAAATAGACATGTATATTTTGTATATGTATACCATAGTCTATACACTATATACACAATATATATAGACTAGCTATATAGCAAGTTGATAAAAGCGATTTGCGAGAATATACAGTTTTGACTATAGACATGTTTGTTACATGTATATTGTGTATAGTAGATGAGTATAACTGTAAAGCATATGTATACAAAATATGCAGTGTATACTGGTGCAGTGGTGGAGTATATTGTGTATATTCTGCAATACCGCGGTAACCGCGGCTTAGTGCAAATTTCGCATTCCGAAATTTGGTTTTTGTTCGCGCTTCCATGTCGCGTCAAGCCAGGTAGGCTCGAAATTAAACTTCATAGCCACCAACGTTCGGTTCCAAAAATGCTTTGGACTCTCCATTCCATTGTTATCCTCGCCTAAGTTTAGATTAGATAACTTCGAAGAGACATCGCTGGCCGCCATATTTGAACATTTTGTTGGGAAATTTGAATATTAATGGCCTACTCTGCTGACAATGCGAGCCTGCGCTTCCGGGAGGATTTTGCATAGCAACCGACCGCCGTGAGGACAAGTTTCCAAGCGGTGAGGACAAGGTTCCTGGCGTTGATGGCAAGGTTCCTGGGGCAGAGGAAAAAGGTTTTTGGCGTTGAGTACAAAGTTCCTGGCGGTGAGGACAAGGTTCCTGGCAGTGAGGACAAGGTTCCAAGCTGTGAGGACAGGGTTCCTGGCGCTGAGGAAAAGGTTTTTGGCCTTGAGTACAAAGTTCCTGGCGATGAGGACAAGGTTCCTGGCGCTGAGGAAAGGTCTTTGGCGTTGAGTACAAAGTTTCTGGTGGTGAGGACAAGGTTCCTGGCTGTGAGGACAAGATTCCTGGCAGTGAGGCCAACGGTCCAGGCCGTGAGGACAAGGTTCCCCCGGAGAGGAAAAGGTTCCATGCGGTGAAGACAAGTTTCCTGACGCTCATAAAAAGGTTTTTGGGTTGAGTACAAAGTTTCTGGGGGTGCGGACAAGGTTCCTGGCGCTGAGGAAAAGGTTTTTGGCGTTGAGTACAAAGTTCCTGGCAGTGAGGACAAGGTTGCTGGCGGTGAGGACAAGGTTCCAACCGGTCAGGACAAGGTTCCAACCAGTGACGACAAGGTTCCTGGCGCTGAGGAAAAGGTTTTTGGCGTTTAGTACAAAGTTCCTGGCGGTGAGGACAAGTTTCCTGGCGGTGAGGACAAGGTTCCAAGCGGTGAGGGCAAGGTTCCTGGCGGTGAGGACAAGGTTCCTGGTGCTGAGGAAAAGGTTTTTGGCGTTGAGTACAGAGTTCCTGGCGGTAAGGTCTAGGTTCCTCGCAGTGAGAACAAGGTACCAAGCGGTTAGGACAAGTTCCTGGCGGTGAGGACAAGGTTCCTGGCGCTGAGGAAAAGGTTTTTGGCTTTGGATACAAAGTTCCTGCCGGTGAGGACAAGGTTCGTGGCGGTGAGGACAAGGTTCCAAGCGGGGAGGACAAGGTTCCTGGCGCGGAGGAAAAGATTTTTGGCGTTGAGTACAAAATTCTTGGCGGTGAGGACAAAGTTCCTGGCGGTGAGGACTAGGTTTCAAGCCGTGAGGACAAGGTTCCTGGCGGTGAGGACAAGGTTCCTGGCGCTGAAGAAAAGGTTTTTGGCGTTGACTACAAAGTTCCTGGAGGAAAAGCCAAGGTTCCTGGCAGTGAGGACAAGGTTCCAGGCGGTGAGGACAGGGTTCCACGCGCTGAAGAAAAGGTTTTTGGCGTTGAGTGCAAAGTTTCTCGCGTTGAGGACAAGGTTCCTGGCGGTGAAGACAAGGTTCCTGGCGTGAGGACAAGGTTCCTGGCGGTAAGGACAAGGTTGCTGGCGGTGAGCACAAGGTTCCTGGCGCTAAGGAAAATGTTTTGGCGTTCAGTACAAAGCTCCTGGCGGTGAGAACAAGGTTCCAAGCGGTGAGGACAAGGTTCCTGGCGGTGAGGACAAGGTTCCTGGCGCTGAGGAAAAGGTTTTTGGCGTTGAGTACAGAGTTCCTGGCGGTGAGGACTAGGTTCCTGGCAGTGAGGACAAGGTACCAAGCGGTGAGGACAAGGTTCCTGGCGCTGAGGAAAAGGTTTTTGGCGTTGGGTACAAAGTTGCTGGCGGTGAGGAGAAGGTTCCTGGCAGTGAGGACAAGGTTCCAAGCGGTGAGGACAGGGTTCCGCGTGCTGAAGAAAAGGTTTTTGGCGTTGAGTACAAAGTTCCTGGCGTTGAGGACTAGGTTACTGGCAGTTGAGGACTAGGTTACTGGCAGTGAGGACAAGGTTCCAAGCGGTTAGGACA